GAGGCAAAGGTCATGGCCATCCTCTGGTTGAAGAGGAGCCATACAGGTGTTACAGCCGTTAAACATAGCCACAGCACCAACGAAAACTCCACACTAATTGCTGCTGGCAGCTTAAGTCAGTCTGAGCGAGAGCACTCAGCTGACTGTAAATAACCGGGCCAGGAAACAATATATGCAGTGAGAGGGGAGTGAGCACAATAGTAGTTAGCGTTAGCGCTCTGCTAACTAAGGTAAAAAATAAAGTCAGTTAACGGTGTATATGCCCTGAGAGGAGAGCGGGGATACTCTCTCCACTAGCGCAATAGCGAGTTAGCCTGAGCGAGAGCACTTGGCTAACTTGGGGACACAATTATCTATTAGCTTGAGAATAGATAGCACAATCAGAAAGAAATGGCAGCGATCTCACCGACTGACGTGCAGGAGCGTCCGCTCTTTACCGGTCAGGAGCTCCTGCGAGTCCGAGCGGTGAACACCGCGGTCCCCTCCCTTGGGAGGGGGACAGCTCGTCGCAGCCTTTGGAGGGCGAGCATTTTAGCCCGCAGCTCCGATCGAGACGATCACAAGGCTACAGGTAAAGAATTTTTTCAATAGGCTAGCTTGGCTGCTACTCATAAAAGGAGTAACCTGTGCAGCGAGAAGATGAAAAAGGACTGAACTCGTTGACAACACCAGAACTTATGCCTTCCGGGGTCATACGAGGTCACACGTGACTTTGTTGATATAAATATTCGACCTGCGCATGCGCAAGACAGAAGATATTCAGTGCTAAGCACCGCCTCTGGCGGTCAGTAAGGATGAAATAGAACCCTTTTTAATGGTCACACATGCAGAACACATAGCACACACAGTGAAATGTGTCTGCATTTAACCGATTCCTAGTAACTGGAGTCTAGTACAGTGGGCAGCTATTGTACAGCGCCCAGGGAGCAATGGGAGTGGGGGGGTATCCGGTGCCTTGCTCAAGGGCACCACGACAGGGCAGGAGGTGAACCGGGACCTCTCCAAGTAGCAGTCCACCCTCCATATTTTAAGTCTGTGCGGGGACTTGAACCGGCACACAGTCCACAATCACAGTCCAACACTGACTGGGCCACTGCCGGACTTGTCCTGCCAGAGGGAAAAAATATGACTTGTGAATTCATAATGTCATCCAAAATTGACTTACATATTTAACGTAGTCCTTCCACTGCTGCCACCACAGCATGGAGATGAGGAACCAGTTCTGACTCTGCTGCAACCCATGTCTGCTCTCCCTCTCCAACCAGCCCCTACACACAGATAAACAGAGCGAAAAAAATGATGGTCCAACAGCTTATTCCTTAGAGTTATAAATAATAACAAAACAGACAAATAAGACAGGTATGTACCTTATGATCTGCCCCTCCTCCTCAGGACTGCCAGGCCTGAGCCCCAGCACTATGTGGCAGACCTGGAAGAAGAGAAATACACAAAGATGCAAAATCACATGGATCAATACATACTTTTACAACATTAAGTTGTTAAACCAGTGCGCAGTGTGCTGATCCACTGACCTGGAAGAGCAGATTTAAGAACTCATTGGCCATAGCGCTCTTCACACTCCAGATCTGGTAGTCTTCCAGGGTCAGGTGACCCAGCTGGGGAAGAGTAAAAAAACACAGGTCAGCATTAAGGCAGCACAATTATTGAAATACTCCTTTATGAAATTGGCTTCCTACAGTTAAAGTAACATTATCTATTAGGATACTGAGGCTAAATATGCTCACTACACTCTTTGAAAACTACACTACATTCAAAATGATGGTATTGAGTTTCCTAAACTGAAAACCAGCCACCAGGGGGCGTAGAGATGTTATGGAATTAAATTAGGGGATCTGTCTGGCCAACATTAATTTTCTTTTTACTTTTTCTTGGCTGTTGCGGATGCAGAACTGAGTGTAAGAGTAATAAAGATCTGCTGTATATTATATAAGCCCAAATATATTAGTATTAAATATATGTATAAATATGCCCATATCTTTTGCTATATTTTTCGACCCCCCAATATTATTTTATTCTATTTACTTGTGGGAGATGCACGGTATAAAGTATTTAAGTAAGATTGTAGAGTTAAAAACTGCTTCACAACAAAAAAACATACATTGTACAGATGTAAACAGAGGGCAAACATAGAAAATACAGAGGACATTTATAATTTACAGCATCTATACAGTGAGGACAAGTCGGTAGAGAAGGGTTTAGAGTTGTCTGAGCCCAGTACAGACTCAACTAAAATAACAGAGAGATAGATAGATTATTTTTTAAATAAACCAAATGATCGCAATTTGAATTTTGGCTATAAAACATGCAGCCCATGTCATCACATTCAAATATAGACTGCTTTAAAACGTTAAAAGAAAATAAACAAATACATTTATTTTCTCTGGTGATTGAAGGTGAAATTAGCTTTGAGAGGCAGGTGACAAGTACAGTAATGTTGCTATGTGTGTCTACTGGGCACAGAAATCAGTATGCGTAGCTGGAGTATAATGGTGTTGACTTTCTCTGCAAAATAAGGTTATAAAATATTCTTAGCGGTGAAGGAATGACTTCCTGACAGCTGCATCAATGGTGCTTCTGTCACCCAGAGTTGTGTCTCACCTTGGTTGTGTCGTGCATCTTCAGGATGTCCTCGACTATGTCCGACACGCTACTGTGCAGCTCCTGCAAGGGGAGACAGAATATTTTAGCATGAAGTAGCAAACACAAAGCGGCATACTAAAAGAATGCTGTGGAAAAAGATCCTAACACCTCGGGGTGTAGAAATGTGGGATGAGTGTTATCTGTCTGTTCGCAATGCCATAAATACCATAACAATAGACTGTTTCAATTCCTGTAGCAACCACACTCTGTCCAGTCTATTTACACTGCTAAGAATTTAGTTTATATAAGCCTCCTGTAATGGCCATTTTTAATGTTCCAATGTCCTATATCCTATTGCCATTACTTCACAGGAGGGTTTGGAGTGATCCAGACGCAGACACAAACAGATGAATTTCCGGTCTTTTGCTGCAATTTAGAATTATGTTTATTTTGCTTTACATACCAAGGTTTAAGTATACTGTGTCAATAGTTGTGGTGAGCATCTGCCGGGCTGTTGACATCGGTATGCTCTCTTCCTCCTGTGTCCTTGTCCTCGTCCTCTCCTGTCACCTATGACCCCTTTTATACACCCGGTGCAGCTAAAAAACCCTCTTAGGTTGAAACAGTCGTGTTCCCATCCCATCCAGCGCTGAGAGAACCTGTGGGTTATATTTTCACCCAATTCCTAGCCTTTCCTTATAGGGCTCCTGCATTTATGTGTCAGTCACTTCTTCAGGTCTGTCACTTGGATTCAGCCGGTGCCCTGGTACCATAACAGCGAAATCGCAGATGAGCTGCTTGGTAACGTGTTTGTTGTTGGGCAAGCCGGGATTTTCTTGTCTGAATGGTAAGTCTAGTCAGTAGTGTCCATCTGACATTTTTGCAGAGTGATTCATAATGTTCAAGAATGGTTTATCTTTTCTGGGCATTTCCTCGCTGTTTTTTTTACTCGGGTTGGTATTGTGTTGGATGACCTGTAGATCCTCTTTGTTTACAATGGATACTGGATTTACAGCAGCAGGGCAGCCATTCTTATCCCTGATGATGTTGTTTCTTCTCAGTGGACCATCGATGACCCACCCCAGTAGGGTCCTTACAGCGTATGGTCCATCTCCCAGGCTGTTGACACGCCCAGCTGTCTTCATTCTCCGCAGCTCGCCGGTGTACCAAGGGGCTGAGCGCGAGAAGGTGACCATCCTGGTTTTGAAGGGGGCGTGCAGATCAAGGAGACTGTTAAGGGACTGGTTGTAATATGCCACTGACTAATTTACTGATGAGAAGTTGGCGGAAGAAAGATGCTGGAAGTCCAGGATCATGGTTGATGGTTGATGTTCCTAAGGAACTTTTTCAGGAAGTGGAAGGTTCACCAAAGCCTCATGATTTTCCTTTGCTTCATCACAGAACTTAATCAATGCAACCAGTTTTAACTGTATTTCTTTTGCATTGTCCTTTGAATTCATAAGCTCTTTCAGTCTTTCCGATTAACTTCTTAGCTTGTTTGCATTTAAAGTTACTTGCTTTTTCACAGTTTACAATAAACAATTCCCATCTCTTGGCCATGCGTTGGGTAATCCTTTTTTCCATTACAGATCCCATTCCAACAGCGCCATCTTGTGACGTAACATCAG